CTGGTGGCCAAGCGCTAAGGCAGGGCTTTCCTCCCTCCCTCTCCCTCCCTCCCTTCTCCTTCTCTCTTCATTCTTTCTTCTTCCTCCCCCTTTCCTTCTTTTTCCTTCCTTCCTTTTTCTCTTCCCATCTTTCCTTGTTTTTCTTTCTCTTTCCTCTCTCCCTTTCTCCTTTCCTGTCCCTTCTTGCATGCTCAAATGCAAAAGGGGAAACATTCCTCCTTTTGTTTTGTTTTGCTTTCAGTTTGTTTTGCTAGCCTTCTGAAAGGGAAAACGGAACCAGGGACGGGGTGGGGGAGTGGGGGGAGGGCATGCAGCTTCTGGAGTGCCTGGGCAGAGGCACTGGGGCCAGACCTTCGACGCTTCTACGGCTGCCTCACGGGCCGGAATTAAGCACCCTGCGGGTCAGATCTGGCCTGCGGGCCTTGAGTTTGACACCCCTGCTCTGACTAGAGGCACCAAGACGCAGCGCTTGGGTTAGAACGGCCTGACCAAATGCCGAGTTAGTCCCGCCTCTCAGGAAAGACCAAAAGCTGCACGGCCTTGGCCCACTATTGCACCCGTTCTGGAGATGGCTGTGGTGCCTCTTCTAGGAATGTCTGGGGGTACCGTGGTTGAAATGCAGCATTTGCAGGCTGACTCTGCCCACAGTCAGGAGTTTGATCCTGACCGGCTCAAGGTTGACTCAGCCTTCCCTTCCCAGTCGGTAAAACCCAGACTGTGGAGGGCAATATGTAAATAATGCTTCTTCATTGTAAACTGCCCAGGGTGATAAAGAAGTGCCATTGTCTCGTTATTGCCATTGTCTCGTACCCTAATTAAGCCAACATCGTGGGTGGTCATGGACTATCCTGGATGGCTCCAGACATAAAAGGCTGTAAAGGCACCATGAGGACGGACACCTAATGTCCATGCCTGTCATGCCCCTGTCTGAATCCGAGGAGGAAGACGAACAGCTGACAGGAAGTGAGAGTGTGGCACCATTGGCTGTGGAGGAAACTGGGGAAGGGCACAGTCTGGCTGGGCAGAGCAGGGAAGAGGGAGAACAAGGGAGAGGGAGTTCAGAGGAAAGACCAGACCCACCCCCTCTTCATCCTAGGCACTCAGGGAGGAACGGAGAAAGGAGCAACGTGGCTTACAGGGAAGGAAAGGGGCCTGATTCCCTTCATTAGCCACAGCTGGGAAGAGAGTTTAAAAGAGATGAATGATGAGTGCGGCAGCTGCTGTGAGCAAACTTGAGTTTATCTTGTGTTGACTTTAGTTATATGCATTCTTGACATCCTCCCAACCTTGTTGAGTTATTGCCATGCCTTCACATCTGGAATTCCTTCTCCTGCCCTGCCGGACTAATTATCTCTTTTTTTTGCCTTGTTTGGACTTATAGTTACACTTTTTGTTTTACCACGTTTTGGAATGGATTCTCTGCAGCCAAAGGCTGTTCCTGGGAGAGTTTTTCTCCAGCCCAGAAGGTAACCAGGACATTGGGGACAAAGTTGGAGCTAATAAAGGGTCTCCTACTGACTACCTGACTGTGTTGCCTTTGTGCCAGGCCCCTTTGGGCCATCACAATTCCTCTCCTAGGGAGACTTAGCATCACCTCCTGGAAAGCACTCAGAGCTGCCTTCCTCCTCCTGAGCAGGCGGAAAGGGAAGAGAGGCAGCCCTGAGCATCTGCTTGCCCACGGGAGGCTCGACAGACAGGGGAGAGCAGTCCAGTTGGGAGAGAAAGCCACCCAGACACCCTCCCCCCTCGCTTACCTGTTTGGCAGGTATTTTGGTTTCTCTGGCCACTGCTTCCCTCAGCTGGGCCACTGTTCCGGACAAAGGCACGGCTACTCCAATGCGCATGCAGTGGGAACACTTCCCTCGATAGACCACGGTCACGGAGAGCGGGCTGCAGAGAGCCAAGTGTAAGACTCATAAAATATTTCTATGGTCTTTTTAGAATTGACAACAGAAAGGGAAGGGGGAGCAGTGCGGCAGCTTGAAAACCAAAAGTGCATTCCATAAATGTTTTCAAAGATAGTTTCTAGGTGACCGAAGTTCCTGCCACTCAAATATCTAACTGGAGAGCATGATTGATGACTCTGGGCTATGGATGTGTCCGTTTGGAGAATATGAATTATGATATACCCAGGGGTGAGGGGAAAACCAGGGTCAAGGGTGACAATGAATTATTTGTCTCAGAGTCGGCTCCACCCAGGCAGTGCTGGACATCTTAACTCCCAATAAATCCTTTTCAAGTTTTGGAAGTTTGGCTCGAGACTCATGATTTAATTGGGGCAACTGCCAGAATCCTGACAACTGGCGGCTGAGAGGGTCGCATCCCTCTGACCACCCAGCTCCCTCTCCTCAGTACCCCCAGAGCTGCTCCTGCTGGGCTTCTCCCGCCTTGTTTGTAGGCACCGCCGGTTGATCTCGGCCCTGCAGACGTACCGTGTGTGAGGCAGCGGGATCGGCAGAGAAATGCAGAGGAAAGGGTCGAAGGTGTTGCTCTGCTTCTGGCAATGAGGACATGTCAAGGATGACCTGGGGACAGGAAAAGCCTCTTTTAAGGCCAGAGAGGGGATGGGGGGGGGG